AAGGAGAGACTCAAGTGTGTGGCTCAAGGCACTAAAGGTAATTTCTAGAGGGAGGGATCCTGTAACCTCCAGGACACCTTTCATTATTCATCCAGGTCAAGTTGGGACCTTTCACTGCCTCTTTTCTCTTTCCTTTTGTTCTTTTTCTTTCATTCTTGAGGTCATTTCATTGTCATTGTGTTTGTCTCTTGGAGTGCCTTAGCTATGGTCGATTGGGTATAGTAAGGAGTATTCCCGTGTGTGCAGACCCCCGGGCTCTCCATTCTGGTGCACACACATCTGCGGTGGTAGTTCAGGGCTGGGGCTGTGGAGCTACATTGCTTGGACTTGGATTCTGGCTGTGCCAAGAATATCATGCCAACAGTGTGATGATAATACCTCATTGCCTGACCTCGTGGCACCTCTTGTTCCTTATATGTGAATGATGATAATAGTGGTAGCTACCTTGCATGCTAGAAGTGAAATCATAGGCTTTTGTGTGTATAACCTAAAATTTCTTTCAGACGATTCACTTGGAATCAAAAAAGAATTTTGTATATTGTAAGCATCCATCCGTCCTGCCATATACTGTCTGATATTTGCTGTTCACAGACACATACAAGGTTATGTTACTTATGGTCATGTGACTTGTTAGTCAATGAAATGTGAACAGAAGTGAAGTGTGTCACTGCAAGGGAGATGTCTTTGAGGGCCAGCGCACTGTTTGCTACATTTATCCACCCGTGCACTCCCCGTTGGTCACGGGTACTGTTCCAAATGGTAGAAGCTCTCGCACGGGGGCCCAGGAGTGCAGAAATGGGGAGCAGAGTTCCCAGAGGACATGTGTCCACAGAGTAGCAGTGAGGTAATCAATCTTCAGTGTCTCGTGCCACTAACATTTGTGAGTTGTTTATGACCATTGTTCCCCTATTTAATTCTGATGAGTGCCTTCACCATGTTATATTTTAAATCTGTTTTTCTGACAGTATAGCTTAGTGATGTAGAGGGTAAAGCAGATGTAATTAAGTTTCCATGTAGTTCTTTTTAAGTGGCTGCTATTGGTCTGGGAGTTGCACTGTAAAAAGTTAATATTTATATTCTTGTCAAAACTATGTATCTTTTATTAGGTCTTTCCTGATAGACATGTACTCCTCTCCTAACTGCTGGGGTGAGGCCTGAGAAAGGCTGGCTCAAAGATCTCACTGTTTTTTAATGATTTTTTTTTTTAAAGATTTTACTTAGTTCTTTATGAGAGAGATAGAGAGAGACAGAAACACAAGCAGAGGGAGAAGCAGGCTCCACGCAGGGAGCCCGATGTGGGGACTCGATCCCGGGACTCCCAAGATCACGCCCTGGGCCAAAGGCAGGCACCAAATCGCTGAGCCACCCAGGGATCCCCAGATCTCACTGTTTGATGTGATTTTTCTGGAGTAATATAATAGCAGGATAGTGTGCCATCTTGGGTCAGACCTTGTCCATTTCGTGTTCTCTCTCAGCACTAGTAAGACAGAAGGCCAGTATCTCTATGTTACTTTCCGATTCCTTTGTTTTCTTAATGAATTTCATGAGCTTATTTTTACTTAACAAGCAAGGGCTTTTAGTATCAAAGTATAACATGGTTGTCACCCCCTCCCCGCCATATCTTCTGATTCATACCTTTTTTAGCCAAAAGAAGTGGCCTGTCATGTATCAAACAGTGTATTCCATATGCAGTTAGCATTTCATTTTTTTTTTGCAATTAGCATTTCAATTGTAACTTCAGTTTCTTTTGCACATTGCAGCATTTCTTTTCTTTTGTAGTATTGCAGCCACAATTGCTTTTTTCTCCTTGTCATTTCTGTGTTTAGTTCAGCCAAATGCTAATAAATTAAATGGTCCTCACTGACAACCTTAAGAATAAATTGTAGTTATAAATTTCATTTAAATTGGTATGTTCCAAATTATACAGAAGACAAAAATTTGAGTGTCACTAGTTAACAAAATTGATATGCATCTTTGGTTTCTAATTTGAATATATATTTGATAGGTCACTAGCACACTATTGTGTGCTTAGTGAATTTAGAGAATTGACTTTTAAATCTTGTATCCTTCCACTAGATGGTACGCATTCCTTTAGGAAATCTGAGACTTCCTCCAAGGAACTTGTCAGTTATTCCACTGATGGCTTAACAATAAAAAAGAAACAAATTCAGGTTAGAGCAATATCAAAAACCTGCGAAATATCCTTATGTCATGTAAAGAGCCACAGAACTTTGTGGCAGAGGTATTTATGGGTGAAAATGCACTGTATTTCCAAGGAATCAGTGATTTTATTGTAAAGCCCATTTGTATAAAAAGTACTTAACTGCATATCGTACTGTATTCAGTGAAGGGCAAACGATGGCAAAAAGCAGGCGTGGTGGTCCTCAGCCATGCAACTCTTGAAATCAATACTCAGATAATACTTAAATAAGTGTTAAATTACAACCGAGATAAAATCAGGTTATTGCTTCCTAGAGCGTATAATAGGGGGTGTGGGTTGGAAGCATTTGCTTACATTCTAGGGACCGCTCATTTAAGAAGTGATTACACAGCTAGTTCAATGAGATATGAAGGTTGTTTAAGAAAATCAGTCAGGCAAACATGGGTTGAGGCAGGAATTGCACAGTAAGTGTCAGTGTTGGGGGTGGTCTATACACATCTGTTATTGTTGTGTTTATTGCGGTGCGTAGATGCCCTGGGCCTTTTCCATTTGGACACTTGTGTTCTTCAGTTCCTATTTCCTCAGTGATTTTATTCCCTCTGCTCTTTCTGGAAGTTCTTTTAGGTGCAAGTTGATCATTCTGGTTTAGTAGGCCTTATTTTTTTGTTCTTTTCTCAGATTTTGCTTTCTGAGATGGATCTTCAACTTTTATTTCTCTATTTAATTTTTAAAGAATTTCCTGCCATAATTTTAATTCAGTTATTTTTTTTTGTGGGCGGTATGTGGGCTAGAGTGTATCTGTTCCTTTTCCATAGCATCCCAGTGTTACTTCATGGATACAGTGCCAAATGTTTTTAAGAATAATTAAAACAAACCAAAGAAATCCCTTATTTATCGATTCCTCACTATGGTTCCATGTGCTTGTCAAAGTCCTAAATCCCTTGTTTTGTTTTTTTTTTGTTTTTTTTAAAATTTTTTATTTATTTTATGATAGTCACACACACACACACACACACACACACACACAGAGAGAGAGAGAGAGGCGCAGAGACACAGGCAGAGGGAGAAGCAGGCTCCATGCACCAGGAGCCCGACGTGGGATTCGATCCGGGGTCTCCAGGATCGCGCCCTGGGCCAAAGGCAGGCGCGAAACCGCTGCGCCACCCAGGGATCCCCTAAATTCCTTGTTTAATTCTCCCAGCAACCCTAAGAGTTACATACTAATCTTCATCGGTTCAAAATGGGGATGAAGATTCGAAGAATAAGGCACGGATTTGACTCCAGTTACACAGCTGGTTAGGTGGTGGAGCTTGCCTTGAACCCCTGTGGTCTGACTCTGGTGGATTCTGTGCTGTTAACCTGAAGCTATTTCTGCTGGTTGATGGCTTCTCAGTAGAGTGGTTTTGTTCTCACTTTAAATCTTGTTTCATTCACAATGTGTATTTACTCTGGAACTTTGTTTCTGTTTGCTTGGTGTTGATTTTGTCAGAGGTCTGTTAACTCTTGGTTCTCTGCCTGTATCTGATAGTGAGGTGTTAAAAGGCTGATTGGAAGCTCTTTGTGTCTGGACAGGGCTTGGTGACTGCTGAGCTTCTCTATAGAACAGTGGTTTTCAGATGTTGTGGAAGAGGGGGTGTTGGGGGAAAAGTGATTTTGCAGCGCTTGGGGTCCTCAGGGACACTGTTACACATCCTATAATGGACAGGACAGGCCCCCGATAACAAATCATCCAGCCTAAAGTGTCAGTAATGCCAAGATTGAGAAAAAACTCCGCTTTTGAGTGAAGGGGTTGAAAAAGCAGTTACTCTTGGTCATGGGAGCAGAGGTTGTGGATTACAGAGTACAGTGGCTTTCTTTCCTGGGGCTCCTTGGGGTCTGCTGTCCCCGGGGGCTAAAGGAAAAGAGCCCCTCTCAGTGTTGAGGTGTTCGGCATCCTCCTGCCTGGCATCTCTGAGCCCGGAGCATCACAGTGTTCTCCCGGCCAAATCAGCCGGGAGACTTTCCTACACAGTCTTCCAGCATCTTCTAATAACTTTTTCTAGAAATTCATTCTAGAAATTACTTTTCTGCTTGTCTTCTTTCCACAATTATAATTTTTGATGAAGTTATCATGATACATCTTAGGATGGAGAAAAGATTCATATTTGTTATTAATCACTAAACTATTGAAGCCTGTTTTTTAGTGGGATTAGTGTAATTCATCAGCTGCTTATAGTCTCATTTTAAATCACTTCTTAGAGTTAGAATTATTCCTTCTCAGTTCTTTGAAGTTACTTTGAGATACATTTTTTTTCAAGATTATTTTCAAATGAGAGATACAGAGAGAGGCAGAGACATAGGCAGAGGGAGAAGCAGGCTCCCTGTGGGGTGTGCGACGCAAGGCTTGATCCCAGGACCCCCCGGATCATGACCGAAGCCAAAGGCAGACAGACGCTCAACCACTGAGCCGCTCGGGGGCCCGGAAGACTACTTTTCCACACCCCAGAGGCTTTTGCAAATGTCCCCAAATGCTCAGCCTTCCCACCAACGTCTGAAGGGAAGCCAGCCCAGCTCACAGGGGATCGCAGAGATTTGAGAGGCTTGGGCCTCCTCGCACCTATGCTTTGGGCACCCTTGGCCACTGCCCTCTGTGCGCATGCGCAGGAATGCCCGCTTCTGAGGTGCGCAGGCGCATTGGCGGTTAGCAGCGTTGCTAGGTTACGGTGGTTCTGCGTAGGAAGATTCCAAGTCGTTGGGCTTAGTCCCTGGGACGCTGAGGCGAGGCCCACTTGCCTTCTTGCTGGCGCGGGAGTGTATCGCACTAGAGGCGGTGAAACCTGTGTCCCTGAAGCCTGTTGGCTTCGTTCTGCAAAAGAGATTTACAATGTGGAGTGCGTGGGGCGCTCTGCCCTTCCGCATCAAAGTCGGGCCTCAGAGGGCCCCCTCGCCACCTGTGACTGGTTCCGGCCCCAGGTACCACATCGACAGTCGAGATCTTAGAAAAATCCACAAAGCTGCGGTCACGGGGAATGTGGAAAAACTGGAGCAGATCCTGTATTTTGGTTTAAAAGGCCCAGATAAAAGGGACAAGAGGAACAGGTAACAGGGCTTTTGAGGCAGGCGGGCGGGAGGAGGCGGGGCGGGCGGCAGAGGGGCTCATGACATTAAAAGCAAAGATTCTGGAGGGTGATTCAGCCACATAAAAAACCCCTCTGTATCGGAAAGTAATATTAACAAAATAAAAGAGAATGCACTTGCAAAATATTTACAACATCTGTTTACCAGAAAAAGAACACATATCTTCGTTTTACAGGGAAGTTATTAAAGGAATGAGATGGGGCCCCTGCATGGCTGAGCCAGTTGGCCTCTTCTGACCTCCTCTCAGGGTCATGATCTCTGGGTCGTGGGACTTAGCCCCTGGTGAGGCTCCCTGCTCAGTGGGGAGTCTGCTTTTTCTCTTTCCTCCTCCCTCTGCTGGTGTTCTTAATTTCAAATAAATGAAATAAAATATAAAGAAAAAGGAATAAAATTCCATTTTCCATCTCAAGCTTTGTGAAGATAAGGAATGATGTTACTTATACTACTGCTTAAAATTTAAGTTGTTTAAGCACCACATTGAAAAATAAGCTTTAGCCATGAAGTTTATTGGTGTAAAATATCTTTAGGAAATAATTAGAAATAAATAATATACAATGTGCTATTCTCAGCACTATTTACAATAGCAGTGTATTAAGAAGTCACTTAATGGCCACTTACTGGCCGTAAATAAATGGCAGTGTATCCATAGGCTGGACTACAGTGTGACCACTGAATGTGGCAAAAATAATTGATACACGTTAACATGCAAAGCTGTACTTTAGTGGATCATTAAATGGGAGAAAAATTGTTTTGATGATGCAAACACAAAAGCAGACAATGGTTTTGTGTTAGCCAAAAAGATGTGCAAAATATGAAATTAGTTATCTTCGAACATTTGGATTCTAAGTGAATTTTTCATTTTCTTAAATCTGTGATTTCTATAGGAAAGATACATAAAAATTCCAACAAAGATTTATTATTAATGAAGTAATCCAGGAGAACAGTAAGAATATGAATCTTGTGTAGATAAAAAATAGTTTCGGGATCCCTGGGTGGCGTAGCGGTTTGGCGCCTGCCTTTGGCCCAGGGCGCGATCCTGGAGGCCCGGGATCGAATCCCACGTCGGGCTCCCGGTGCATGGAGCCTGCTTCTCCCTCTGCCTGTGTCTCTGCTTCTCTCTCTCTCATTCTTGTGACTATCATAAATAAAAATAAAAATTAAAAAAAAATAGTTTCTACTTACTTACTTTTAAGAGATTTTATTGATTCATTTGAGAGAGAGACCAGGCACACAAGCAGCAGTGAGGGGCAGGGGGACAAGCAGAAACCCCGTGGAACAGGGAGCCTGATGATGTAGGGCTTGATCCTAGGACCCCAGGTCCATGACTTGAGCCGAAGGCATATGCCTAACTGATTGAATCACATAGGTGCCCCTCTTTCTATTTAAAAAAATTTGATGGCTGAGGATTGGTATTTTCTGACAACTTTTAGCCTCTTCAGAAGTAAGGAGAATATTTTTATCTGTATTGTAGCTTTTATTATGCATACATTAAATATATACATATGGTTTTATTATGTGCAGTTTTATAACATGTAATAAGTAAATGATTAACAATAATTTCGTTTTAGTTAAATCCTTACGGAAATAAAAAATATAAATATAAATGATATTGTGAAAGCTTATAGAATTTTTGTTGTATCCCTCTTCTGAAAAAAAATTTAAAAATAACAAATATAAATTTTTATTGCTATTTCAAAAGTATTAGTTTACTTTACAAAAGTTTTCTTTAAAAGTACTGAACTCTCCTGGTGCCTTGGTGGCTGTTTGTTGAGCATCAGACTCTTGATTTTGGCTCTGGTCATGATCTTAGGATTGTGGGGCTGAGCCCCCTGTTGGGCTCCATGTTCAATGGGGAGGCTGCTTGAGATTGTCTCCCTCTCCGTCTGCCCTTCACCACACTCATGCATTCTCTTTTTCTCAAAGAAATAGATAAATCTTTAAAAACTATTGAGCTCTCCAAATGTATTTATGTATTCTTTCAGTCCATTTATTTCTCAAACAGAACCTGAACACAGGATATGTAGCAGACATAGTCTACTCAGGATCTTTTCAATCTTAAAAAGACTTCATGTTGTCCTGTATGAGCAAGATGAGAAATTTTATGTATTTAGGTTTTAAAGCTTTGATTCTTAAGTAATATCTCTACTCAACATGGGGCTCGATATTTAAGGACATATGCTCTACTGACTGAGCCAGCCAGGCAATCCTAAGATGAGAGATTTTATTTTATTTTGTAAATGTTAAAAGATGTGTTTATTTTAAAAGGAGAGAGAGGGTCATGGGAGAGGGGAGGGACAGAGGGAAAGTGAGGATCTCAAGCAAACTCCACCCTGAGCATGGAGCCTAATGTGGGGCTCCATCTTACGACCTTGAGATCATCCTGAGCCAAAACCAAAAGTTGGACACTCCATCAATTGAGCCACCCGGGTGCCTCTAAGGTGAGAAATTTTAAATGGAAGTATTAGGACTTAATCTCACGTGAAGCTTTTCCTTGGAACTTCCTGTCAAAGGAAAACATTTCTGAAGATCGGAAATTGTAAAAGATTTCCCGCCCCTTTGACATTTCAATAATATTAAATACTAATATTGGTAACTGGAAATACTTGATTTCTATGAATCTAAACATTTTCTATTAATTAAAATGAGCTCCCCCCCCAAAAAAAAACATAATGAGCTGTTCCCATTTCTTTGAATCCTGAGTTCTTTTGGCTTAAAATTCCTTGAAAATCAAAGTAAGGGTTACTTTAAATAAATTATTTTGTTCTTTTAGTCCTCTATTCCCGTAATGCTTTCAACTAAAAATTATTTTAGTTCTTGAACAATATAATTCCAAGCATAAGACTAGAAGTGTAACAGACCTGCTGTATATGTCATTATTTCATTTAAGGCACACCGTAGATTGTATGATGCCCCACTATTTATGTACCAAGAAGAAATTTGTGTGTGTGTGTGTGTGTGTGTGTTTTTCCTGATACAAAGGTACTTCTATTGACAGAAGAAATTTAAGAAAATGTTAACATTCAGATGGGGAAGAGGGACTCTGAGGAAGGGAATTCCTTAGGGGAAAGGCTTGTGGGTTTTTTTTTTTAATGTAAATTTATTTTTTATTGGTGTTCAATTTGCGAACATACAGAACAACACTCAGTGGTCATCACATCAAGTGCCCCCCTCATGCCCATCACCGAGTCACCTCACCCCCCCCGCCCACCTCCCCGTCATCTCACCCCCCCCCCGCCCACCTCCCCTTCCACACCCCATAGTTCATTTCAAAGAATTAGGAGTCTCTCATGTTCTGTCTCCCTTTCTGATATTTCCCACTCATTTTTTCTCTTTTCCCCTTTATTCCCTTTCCCTATTTTTTATATTCCCCAAATGAATGAGACCATATAATGTTTGTCCTTCTCCGATTGACTTATTTCACTCAGCATAATACCCTCCAGTACCATCCACGTCTACGCAAATTAATGGTGGGTATTTCTCGTGTCTAATGGCTGAGCAATATTCCATTGTATACATAAACCACATCTTCTTTATCCATTCATCTTTTGATGGGCACCGAGGCTCCTTCCTCAGTTTGGCTATTGTGGACATTGCTATGAACATCGGGGTGCAAGTGTCCCTGCGTTTCATTGCATCTGTATCTGTGAGGTAAATCCCCAGCAGTGCAATTGCTGGGTCATAGGGCAGATCTATTTTTAATTCCAAGAAGAAATTTTTAAAAATCATTCCAGTTATAGTTTTAAGACATTTTGAATTAGAACTTGGATTCCAATGTCAGAGATATAAAAGGTGACAAAATGAGCATCTTGGAATCATTGAAATAGAGTATTCTTGCTCATCCTTAAACGTAGCTGCAAAGTAGGCATAATTGGATCATTTTACTTAATTGTAGTGGGTCTTTGTAAGTTGTAGTAATAGTTACAATAATACTTGTTCTAGGAACTAGTATTCTAAACACTTTGCGTGGATCCTCATTTAAGGATCACGACAAGAGGTCTTGTGAGATAACTACCTTTTATTTTATTTATTATAACTATTGTTTGGTAACCTCTATAACCAACAGGGGGCTCGAACCCCTGGCTCCTGATATCGAGTCCCATGCTCTTCAGTGAGCCAGACAGGTGACCCAAGATGACTATTTTTATGCTCATTTTGTGGATGAGGAAATTGCGATAAGGCTAAGTGGTCACTGTTAAGTGACAGAGTTCAAGTAGGAATCAAACCCAGGTTGAGCTGCCTCCTGAGATCATGCTCTTCCTAAACAGATAGGCTGTTCTTTTAATAGAGTGGTGAATAATCACTAATAAATATTGTACTTTCTTCCAAAGAAAACTAAATCTTTCTTTTGGAATCATGAGAATAACATACTATTTAACATTTACAATTAACATGAATTAATTTGCATGTTTTGAAAAGGTACACTGTAATTTCCTGACAAGTCCTTTCACAATCATAGGACTGCTCTCCACTTGGCCTGTGCCTGTGGCCATGCAGATGTGGTGTATCTCCTGATAGACCAGAGATGCCGGCTCAACCTCCAGGACGATGAAAACAGGACAGCTCTAATGAAGGTGCGTGGTCACAGCTATATCTGCCTGAGATGGATTGGATTGAAGTACTTGGAATGAACATTTGTTGCATTTAAACATAACTCATTGGTGAAACTTGTGGCATGTTTCCTTTAAATTCCCAGAATTTACATTCTGTTTCTTGGTGTAATGCTGACAGGCTGTACAATGCCAAGAAGAGGAATGTGCAACTATTCTGCTGGAACATCGTGCTGATCCAAATATTACGGACAACGAGGGCAACACCGCTCTCCATTATGCGGTCTCTGCAGAGAACATCTCCATAGTAAAGAAGCTGCTTTTATACAAAGCAGATATAGAGGCCAAAAACAAGGTACAGATCACCCTTTTTTTTTTTACAAAGTATTTGATGTTATATATATATATATATATATATATATATATAGCTTCAAAAGGTTTTTTTATATATATGTATATGTACATATATATGTACATAGGCACATATATATGAACACATGGACACGGAATTTTATACATCAGGTCCTGTCATCATGGAAACAACTCCAAAACCAAGGCGGGGGAGGGAAAGAGAAAAGTAATGCATATAGAAAGGCACCTTTCTGTCTGCTAGCCACCCTTCCACCCCAGAAAGAAAATCTTCCCATTAGTGCCTGGGAGTAGATGGTGCTCTCAGAGCCCAGAAAGGATTGAAGGCGTAGAGGGGAGTGTGGTGATGATGGAGGCCGAATGCTGTGCGGAGGCTTAGGAGATGAATGCTTCTGGGGATAAGTAGGAGACCGTGACCCAGAGGAGTAGCTTGGGTGAGTGTAAATGGGAGGAGAAAGCAGGAGGTTGTAATAGGCCATGGGCGCTCTAGGCCCTAAGGTTCAGAAGATGAGAGCAAGGGGATCAGGTCATGACATCCTACAGGGGGTATCTACTTGTGCTGGTAGCCACTCTGTCAGCCATGTACCACGGTGAGGTCTCCCATTCCGGAGAGTAGCTCCTGCTCAGCCTGTGTAGTTCCTCAGTGGGGTGGTAGGTGTCTATGGGGAGCTGGTGATGACCACACTCGCCAGTCTCCCTGTGCTTTCTTTGACGTGCATTACCTTCAGTGGCTGCCCTTGCAGAAACACTGTTGCATGCCATAGATAGGGTCCATTTTTCATATTTGGAAGCTCAAGCATTTCCTGAATGAAAATATTTTGAAATAATTGTCTAAGCTTTTGCTTTAAATAACAATACCTTTTATTTTTGAAGACTTTATTTATTTGAGAGAAAGAGAGCATGAGAGAGAGCACACATGAGTAGGGAGGAAAGGCAGAGGTAGGGGAAGAAGAGGCCTTCCCACTGAGCCAGGTAGCCTGATGCACGGGGCTTGATGTCAGGAGTGGGATCATGACCATAACTAGAGGGAGATGTTTGACCCACTGAGCCACCCAGGCTCACCATCATCCATCCATCCATCCTTCCTTCCTTCCTTCCTTCCTTCCTTCCTTCCTTCCTTCCTTCCTTCCTTCCTTCCGGGGTTTGTTTATTTATTTATTTTATCTTTTTGTTTTTTCTTTTTAAAATTTTTTTTTAGTAGGAGTTCAGTTTGCCAACGTATAGCACAGCACTCAGTGCTTGTCCTGTCAAGTGCCCCCCTCCCTTGGTGCCCGTCACCCAGTCAACCCAACCCCCCACCCACCTCCCTTTCCACCACCCCTTGTTTGGTTCCCAGAGTTAGGAGTCTCTCATGTTCTGTCGCCCTCACTGATATTTCCCACTCGTTTTTTCTGCTTTCCCCTTTATTCCCTTTCACTTTTTTATATTCCCCAAATGAATGAGACCATATAATGTTTGTCCTTCTCTGATTGACTTACTTCACTCAGCATAATACCCTCCAGTTCCATCCATGTTGAAGCAGATGGTGGGTATTTTTTGTTTCAATCCGTGGTATATGTATGCAATGGAATATTACTCAGCCGTGAGATTTTATTTATTTTAGAGGAAGTGAGCGAGCATGTGCAAGCAGGGGGTGGTGTGGGGGCAGAGGGAAAGAAAGAGGGTGAGAATCTGAAGTAGACTTTGCGCTGAGCCTGGCTCAGGGCTGGATCTTATGACTGTGATCATCACCTGAGTTTAGACCAAGAGTCAGATGCTCAACAGACTGAGCCACTCAGTTGCCCCTAAAGAATGATATCTCTGAAGAAGCATTAGAGAATGCAGCTTTCTTTTATGTACTTATGGCAAATATTTATGAGAACACAGAATGTGTTCTGAAACTTTATTTTCAAAAATTTTTTTCTGACCCAGTTTGTTTTATTATTTAGTGCCAAACAACAGAGGAAAGCAAAATTTGCGTTGGAAACACGCTTTGTCTTAAAACACAAAACAAATGTGTTTTACAGTATCAACTCTTGCTGCCGTCGAGAAGTTCCTATTTGATCAAAAAGCGATTTATTAACAGGGTCGGAGTTTATCTTTTATCAGCCTTGACTTAAGAGGGGGAAAAGGAGAAAGGAGTCAGAAATATGCCGAGCAATTTGGAAAATCGGCAAATGAGGGGAAATAACTAGAAGAGGTTTTTTTTTTTTTTTTATTGTGTTTGTCTTTCTTCGGTTTTTATGTTTAGGCAAGGTGTCTTCAATTTGCAGGGATAATAATTCTTACTTTAGGAACCAGTGAGTGTGTTGTAAACTTGTCTAGAGATGAATTCTAGGAGGACTCTGAGGAAATCAGATTGGCAGTGAACAGATGGTTGATTATGTGGGCAAGAAGAGGGTCACCTGGGCGGCTCAGCGATTGAGCATATGCCTTCAGCTCAGGGTATGATCCCGTGGTCCCAGGATCGAGTCCCACATCAGGCTACTCGAGTGGAGCCTGCTTTTCCCTCTGCCTGTGTCTCTCCCTCTCTCCCTCCCTCTCTCTCTCTCTCTCTCTCTCTCTCTCTTTCTCTCTCTCAGTCTCTCATGAATGGGTAAATAAAAATATTTATTAAAAAAGTGGCCAAGAAGAGGAAAGAACAAATAATCAACTGACATAGTATCGTATTTGGCAGCAATAGCCACTTAGACAAAACTCTAAACTCTGCTTGCAAATCTAGAGTGTCTTGATGGAAAGTAAGGAGTGTGTAAATAATGGAATCAAGTTGCATTTTTGAGTTTACTGGTCCTTGTTATAACCTCTAGCCATGGAAATTGAATGCAGGTTTGATAAATGACTCATTTCTGTTTTTGGCGGAATCCTCAAGTGATAGGGAGAATTGGCCACATAGGTGAAAGAGGAGACTGACGTGGTTGTGTACTGAACTAGTTCTCAGCTAGAATTGTGCTGGTGAATCACAGTCAACAGGGAACTTTAAAAGAATCTACAAGCCAAAACTGTCCCGTGAAGCTTTCGACGGAGTAAATCCAATAACATGTGCACACAGAGATTTGGAAATAGTTTTTTGAGATTCTGATACAACTCTTGGCTAAGAACTACTGAATGGGTAAGTATACATATACAAATTTAGAGATGTAAAAATATTAAATCTCTGCAAGAGCTGACGTTTGATACTGGCTACTTCCTTCCACTCTTTCATCTGTCTGTATCTCTATGAGAATTACAGATGAAAATTACTGGGCATCTGTGTTGGCTTGAAAAATAGTTACCTTTTCTCCAACTATCAGTCATTCCCTGGCACCCAGATGGGAAGTCTTTATGAGTAGTCTTTTAATAAGTAGAGTCTGACCCTTTAAAGATTTTACATGTTTTGCTACCATTCTGATTATTACAAGCAGGGTTTTCCCAATAGCAGCAGTAGAAATCCATGAACCTTCCTTTTTAGTTGAAGCTGTGCGATAGACTATCTTAGGATGTCTTTCAAATTCATAGGGCCCTGGCATAATCAGGGCAGTAGTGTTAAACATTCAGTATGTAGTTAGTGACAATGCAGATGGTAATTGTTTTAATAACTTGGCTTCAGAATTCCTCTGAACTCATTGCCTGTTCGGTTAGCAATCTGAGGGAAGTAAATACAAATAGATTGTAGTTGAAACAAGCATTGGAAAATTCTGACAGTAGGTGTTATGAGTCTTCACAGCAATTTTCATTAGAAGGTGGGGCCTAATTTGTTGTTAAACCAGATCCTGATGCTTTAGGAAAGGTTTGATGTTGAAGTATTTGTTTTATGCACAGCCATTAGAAACAGTCACAGCAAATAGAAAAACACAAGTAGGCTATAGACTAAATGTGGCCTCCGGATATATTTAGTTTCCACTGTCAGTTGAGCTAAGATTTAAAATTATGACACGCATGTAGAACTCTGGATTTTGAGCTTTTCTTATAGATGACTTCTGGTACCTTGAGCCCATGCTGCTGTTTGGTATGCTGTGCAGAGGCTGTCCCTTTATATGAGGTTGTGTCTCCAGTTTGCTCGTGTCCCCGACTAGGTTCTTCACTGACTCGTGTCACCTGCTTTGCCTCCATAAGCATTGAGTTTACAATTACTGTTTTATGGTATATGTTGATAAAGATTTCAAGGTTTTCAAGACAATCCCTGTTAATTGATAATATATTTTTTGTATTTTATGTTAATTTCTTAAGATTCAGATTGAATTTTCAGTTTCTTTGTCTCCTAATTTTTTTTCATTACTTTATTCAATAATCATGAGAGACCCAGAGAGAGAGAGGCAGAGAGCTAGGCACAGGGGGAAGCAGACTCTTATGGGGATCCTGATGTGGGCTCGATCCCAGGACCCTGGGATAATGATGTTCAGCCTCTGAGTCACCCAGCTGCCTCGGGATGAATTTTCTAAGTTAGGAATTGCAAGTCGGTTTTTTCACATTTTTTCTTTATATGTACAGTAATCATGTTCCTTTTGGAATATCTGCAAGCCATATGAGGTTAATCCTGGTTCTACTTGGATAGATTATGCATATTTCATCAATATTATCTTTCTCCTTGGTATTATTCCCTAAATATGCAATTAATTTAGTAGCTTATATTATACTAAAAATAATCCGTATAAAGCTGTATTAGAATTTTTGAATAATATTTTTTACTTAAACTCAGTTTCCCAACATGTAAACACCCAGTGCTCATCTGGTATTAGAATTTTTATTGATAAGTCATGACATTTTTATTTGATTTACACTTTGTCTAAATTATAAAATAATCATAAATAGCAATGATAGTAAAAACTAGAATACAAACAGGTTTTTTTTTAGAAGTAGATGTGCATTAGGTTCCCAGAATTAGTATAATTGAGAATAAAATCTCATATTGACTTAATTCACTTAGCGTAATACCCTAAGTCAGTCAGAGAAAGACAATTCTCATAGGATCTCATTCATATGTGGAATATAAGAAACAAGACAGAGAGGATCATAGGGGAAGAAGAGAAAAACTTAAACCGGAGAGACTGAGGGAGACAAAGCATAAGAGACTCTTAATCATAGGAGCCAAACTGAAGGTCCTTGGAGGGGTGAAGTGGGAGGATGGGATAACTGGGTGATGGACATTAAGGAGGGCACATGATGGAATGAGTCCTGGGTGTTACATAAGACTGAGGAATCACCGACTTCTACCTCTGAAACTAATAATACACTATATGGTAATGAATTGAATTTAAATAAACGGGTAAAAATGAAAAAAAAATCTCATACTGAGCTTTCTAACAGTTAAGATAAAACTTTATCATGGTATAATGGAAAGTCCAAGGACTATTTATGTAGTCATTTTTAATATTTTATTGTTTTTATTTTTTAAATTTTTTTAAAATTTTTTTATTGGAGTTCAATTGGCCCACATAAAGAATAACACCGAGTGCTCATCTCATTGTGTGTCCTCCTTAACCAAAGATTATTTAGTATTAAGCGGTCAAAGTTCATTTGAAGCTTGTTTCTTTTATTTATATTTATTTTTCTTTTTAATTTTTAAAAGAATAATTTTGTGTTTTAGAGAGACAGCACACACATATGCACAGGCTTGTGGGGGTGGGGGAGGTGGAGAAGAAGAGGGAGAGAGAGAGTGTCTTAAACAGACTTGGTGCTGAGTGCCAGGGGAACCCAGAATCCAATGTGGGGCTGGATCCCACGACCCTGAGATCATACCTGAGACAAAAACCAAGAGTCACTCAACTGGCTACGCAACCAGCTGCCCTGAAACCTAGCTCTTTTCATTCAGAGTCCATCTCCTTAGTGACTCATTTGGAGCAGGAGTGTTTTATGTTGACATCTGGGATCCCCATACCATTGATAGAAGAGAATCAAGCAAGTTTGTACAACCTGGAGAAACCCTTACCTTTTTATTGGAAAGTTCTTAAAATTATATCCCTGGGAACTCTTTTTTTTAATAATAAATTTATTTTTTATTGGTGTTCAGTTTACCAACATACAGAATAACACCCAGTGCTCATCCCATCAAGTGCCCCCCTCAGTGCCCGTCACCCATTCACCCCCACCCCCCGCCCTCCTCCCCTTCCATCACCCCTAGTTAGTTTCCCAGAGTTAGGAGTCTTTATGTTCTGTCTCTCTTTCTGATATTTCCCACACATTTCTTCTCCCTGGGAACTCTTATTTCTCAAGTATTTTTGGCTACAAAAAAAGGAATTGTCAAATGGGGATAAGCAAATGTAAATGGAGTTCATTTGTGCAAGATATATAGTGCGGTTTTGTAATATTTCACGAACTTAGATGATCATTGAATCTTTCTTTTGGGCACAGATTCTCTTGCAAATTTTGTGTTCTTTGGACTATAATTGAAGAAACACTACTCCAGAGATATCCATTAAAATCAATAACAATACTTTAAATATTTACTACTATGTTTTAGAGACTGGAGATACAGAGATAAAAAATAATCCTCCCCTCTAGAAGCTTTTGGTTTAGATGGTGTGGAATAAAATAACTAGAGTATACCGTGATATATATTGTGACAGAAGCAAAGATCCTTGGAGCCAGGCAATGTTTAAACCGAGTTTGTGGAATGACTGCAGGTAATCTGTTGAAGAGGAAGAGGAGGTCTATTTTACTATTTTTATTTTACGTTTTAAAAAGATTTTATGTTTTTGAGAGAGACAGTGAGCGAGCGAGCAGGAGAGCGAGCACGAGTGGAGAGGAGGGGTAGAGGGAGAGGGAGAAGCTGACTCCTTGCTGCAGAGGGAGCCCAAAGTGGGACTCCATCCTGAGACCCTGGGATCATGACCTGAGCTCATGAGCTGAAGGCAGATGCTTGACCAACTGAGCCACCACACTCCCTGAGAAAGCAGTATTTTAAAAATAGAGAGCAGCTGGTGAAACCATGGAGGGTTGAGAACATTGGGGCTAATTTTATTTACTCTGTGTGTTACATGTTTAAGTTACAGGATGGTTTAGGATTTTTACGATTCATATCCAAATATGTAATTTTGTAAATTATAAATTTTGTTTGCACTTTTACAGGATGGCCTCACACCGCTTTTAATTGCTGTAAATAACAACAAAGAGGACATGGTGGCATTTTTAGTAGAAAAAGGAGCAAATGTAAATGTAGTTGACAACGCTAAAAGGTAAAGTTTTTTTTTTTTGTGTGTGTGAATCTTAGTATTTGGTCAAGAGTGGAAACAATTTCTGAAGGCAGAAAGTTTAACTTAATAAGAAGGGTATTAACTTACAGGTATAGTGAAAAATGTCAGCATGTGATCGGTTAGGTAGAAAAGAATTCTGACAGGACAACGTGAAGAACATTGTATAGTATAATACAGGATCCTTTGTATTATAGATTGATGTCATTTGCAATAGTTTTTTTGCTGTATGATTTTTACAGTAGCTTAAAGTGTTTCTTGTCAAAATTGTTAGTTTTTTAGCTCAGAGCATGATGCCAGAGTCTGGGAATTGAGCCCCACATCGGGCTCCTAGCAGGGAGCCTGCTTCTCCCTCTGCCTATGTCTCTGCCTTTCTTTCTGTGTCTCTCCTGAATAAGGAAATATAATTGATAAAAAAAAAATTAAAGAGTCCAAGCAGAAACCTCTGAAATGGTCTCCAAGCCTTCATGTGGTAGGGTAAACCAAAAACAACCCTGCATCCTAGGAGAGATGCAGAGGGATAGTGCTAGGAGAGCTATGCAGTGGGATAGTGCTAAAGGATGAAAGGCTGGTGAGCTCTATCACATTTCTGCTTGAGTCACTAGTCTGGCCCATTCAGAGACTGGATAGATTGTGGCAAATATCTGTAGTTACTGTCAACTTGAACAAAGAGTCGTTCCATAGTTATTGTGCGCCTCTTATTGCTTCCAGAACAGATTAATAAGATGTCACGTACATGGTATGTCACCACTGATAACGGCAAATGCATTCTTTTCTATTCCGCTAGTGAATCAGAAATAGTTCATATTCATAGAGTATAGACAAAGTGTCCATTCATTTCATTTGCCTCGGTGTTTTATTAACTCATGAAGCTAGACCATTTGAACATCCCCAGAATATCTCATTGGGCCTATCATACTGACACCATGCTAATTTGACATGAGGAGCAGTAAGAGGCTATAACGCTTTGGGCCCTTGGTAAGACCGCATGAATTGACATTTCCGTGACGTTTTGAGGCATCTAGTGGGCATGCCAGGATATTCTCGCAGGAGTGAAAGAAAAATTGCCACATTTTGAATACCTTTTCACAAAGACAGAAACTGGGAGACCTCTTTGGGTTCTGGAGGTAGCATATTTTACACCACTAATTCTCAATGTGTTGGGGGTGGGGTGGTGGGAGAATAATTCTCCTCGGGGAGCATTTGGCAGTGTCTGGAGACCTGTTTTTTGACATGTCAAAAGCTGTACATACTTAATGTATCGAATTCAGTGAGTTTGTGGATAAGTGTAGACCTCTGGGAAATCATCACTGCCTTAAAGCCATAGTCCTACCCATCACCTCCCAAAGTTTCTTCCTGCTCTTACTAATTAATTAACTAATTAATTGGTAAGAACACTTGACATAAGATCTACCCTCTTAGCAAATTTTAAGTATGCAATGCAGTATTATTAGCTATAGACACTGCTAACAATAGATTTGTCTGGAGACATTTTCGGTCCTCACAACTGAGGACATTGCTGGCATCTAGTGGGTTGATGTCAGGAGTGCTGGTAAACATACCCAAGAGAGGCCTCCACAACAACCCACCATGTCCATGGTACAAGGTTGGGAAACCTTGTCCTACATTGAGTACTCCTTTCATCCATACACCTTGGTGAAACTAAAGAATGCAAGACTTCAGTGGTCTCAGAGCAGATGAATTGTGCAGCAGGTGCAGGCTGTGCTTAGGAGTCCCCACTGCTTTGGTCACAGGATCCAGTAGACCCTATGCTATGCGTGGTGTCAGTGGTGGGGAAAAGTTGTACCGTGGATCTTAGGGCAAGCCCCTGTTGGAGAATCAGAGCGCAGGCCCTTGGGGTTTTCTGATCTTGAGTCCCCATCAGAAGCTTGCCTGTAGAGGAGTCCTATGGGAGACAGAAATGACTTGGTTTTAGTATTTCTTCTGTGGTAAGTCATTGGCTGGACACAGCCTAGCAGAGACACAAGGCCCTGGTGTGAGTGCTACGGTGGATATGAAAATGTAGCAGCTGTGTCTACATTTTGAGCTACAGTTCAACTGTGCTCTCTATGGTAGATCCTCTAGAAGACAAATCCGAAGAGTGCAACTCTCCCTGGCCTCTATATTAGTCTGGGTCCAATCAGAAGACGGATATGACATAGTATTTTAAACCGTGGAAGTAAATATAAAGAATTACTAAATGGTGATGAGATAGTAATGAAAAGATGGGACAGAGAAGTCTGAAGACAGTACCACAGAAGAGCTAACTTGGGAGGGGGGTCCAAAGTTGCTAAAGAAGGTGTGATTGCAGCACGATGGATGGCAGAGAAGTTTGAGTCCTGTATGTCTGACTTCCTCTGTGCATCCAATTACCAGCCTCAACTCATTTGTGTCCCAGAGGGTTGTTCCTGTTTGCCTGGAGATTGAGCAACTGGCCCTGGCCCATCTTCTGGTTTGCTTCCCTTCTTCTTCTTCTTCTTCATCTTCTTTCATCTTCATCTTCGTCGTCTTTGTGTTCTCCTTCTCCTCCTCCTTTCCTCCTCCTTCTCTTCTTCCTATCCCCTACTTTATTCTCCCTTGCCCCCCCCAACCCCCCTTCACCAGCATCAGAAGTACTCTTCCCAGCTGTGCACTCCAGAGCATGCAGTCCCGGCCCCAGCCAGTGACCTTCCTATAATGGATACCATGCCCCCAGCAAATGCTCTTGACACCCTACTCGCTCTGTGCATCCAGTCCTTAATCTTAACTCTGCTGTATCCCTAAGGGGTTTGTTGCATCCTTCTGCATGTGCATATGATACACTGGAGGCCTTGCACTGCTCTGCTGGTCCGTGGGCTCATTGTGCCCTGACACTCTCTATACATCCGTTTATCAGACAGGACTCCCTGCACTCCTGAAGGATAGTTCCTGTTTGCATGATGGGTAGCATGGACTAGCTTTGGCCGGGCAACTCTGACTGTAGTTCAGACATCTCCTTCAATGAGATCTGAATCCCAGCCTTGGGATTTACCCATTCGGGTAATCTTTCTTGGGTAATCTTGCACCTTAGTATTTGGATTTCTTTTCTCATCTTTATAGTTGATCTACTGTTACAGTTCATCATTTTTTATATTAAACGTTCCCTGCTCAAATTACTAAGTGGTTTGTCTCCTGTTTGGACCCTCACTGATACACTATCCCTTCTTTTTGGAATGTGCTTCTCTCCCTCTCACTGGCTAACCCCTTTTCATTTTTTAAGTTTTAGCTTTGATATTGCTTCTTCCTGTGCATCCATCCCTGACTCACTACCCTTATTTTTACATGACTCCATAGGCCCTTTGTGCTCACCTTAAATGTGGCATTAAACTCGCCTCTACTCTGTGAACACCGCAGTGTCATGTTTGTTGTTCCCTCACTGACTCCCACAATGCCATAATACAGGTTTTCAGTACACGTTTCTGATTTAACTTTGGGTCCCTTTGAGGTGGTTCTCCCAGGTCAGGGATCTCCAGTAGACTATGGCCCAGGTCATCCTCAACACTCTGGAGCCCTCAAATTCTCATCATGGTTTAATTACGACATAGTTTCAGTTTTCCTCAGTAGATAGAGTGGACTGCAAGGGGAGAGATGTCCAAAAGAATAAATAACCAGTTATGAAAAACTGTTTTTTTTTTTTAATTTTTTTTTTATTTTTTTTTTTATGATAGTTACACAGTGAGAGAGAGAGAGAGAGGCAGAGACATAGGCAGAGGGAGAAGCAGGTTCCATGCACCGGGAGCCTGACGTGGGATTCGATCCCGGGTCTCCAGGATCGCGCCCTGGGCCAAAGGCAAGCGCCAAACCGCTGCGCCACCCAGGGATCCCGAAAAACTGTTGTTTTTTTAATTTTTTACTTATTTATGATAGTCACACACACACACACACACACACACAGAGAGAGAGAGAGAGAGAGAGAGAGAGAGAGAGAGAGAGGCAGAGACATAGGCAGAAGGAGAAGCAGGCTCCATGCACCGGGAGCCCGACGTGGGATTTGATCCCGGGTCTCCAGGATCGCACCCTGGGCCAAAGGCAGGCGCTAAACCGCTGCGCCACCCAGGGATCCCTGTTGGTTGTTTTTTAAAGATTTTTATATATTTGAGTGTGAGAGAACACAAATGGGGGTGGAGACAGAGGAAGGGGGAGAAGTAGACTCCCTGCTGAGCAGAGGGCTCGAGGCAGGGCAACTCCAAGGCCCCTGAGTCCTGACCTGAGCTAAAGAAGCCTTATTTTTTTAAGATTTTATTTATTCATTCATGAAAGACACAGAGGAGAGAGAGAGAGGCAGAGACACAGGCAGAGAGAGAAGCAGGCTCCATGCAGGGAACGCTGATGGGGGACTCGATCCCAGGACTCCAGGATCTTGCCCTGTGCCAAAGGCAGGCACTAAACCACTGAGCCACCGAGGGATTCCCTTAACGAAGCCTTTTAATGGACTGAGCCACCCAGGTGCCCCTATGGAAGGTGTGTGGTGAATTTCTTGGCAACTCTTAAAAGGAGAAGACATTCATGACAGCCCTGAAGTAGAATTGGAAAACCTGAGCTAAGGGATTTGGTAAAGCATTCATATCTCAGTTGTTTTTCATCATAAAACATATATTACCCTAACAGTTTGTTATTTTCATTAGTATAACTACCGAATGAGTATGCAGCAAAGTTGAACCAGGACATATATGAGACTCAGATGGGCATGGGAGTTCTAATCAGGAACTTTCTAGAGGATGTCTGTTCTAGATCCAAAATTGTTTTCCACAGAAGTCTGGGAATTGGAAATCTTAGGTTTCAGGTGATTGTGAGAAAGTCTTTGGGGGATCCACATAGCATTTGACCAAGGAACAAAGAAGCTCAGAGTTGGACTACCATATACTCTTTGAGTATCTCTGATCTATAGAAAAACACTACAGTCAACCAAATTCTTTAACTTACCTGGAGTCCTGGTGTGGAGTTCCTATCTCCTTATAGCCTGGTAA